GCACTGCAGGCCGCGTCCCTCCCTCCCGAGGCTGCGGGAGCTCCGGCCGCCGCAGCGGCATCGTGTTCAGCGGACGGGTTTAACTTTTCCGTCTTCGCCCCCACCGCCCTTTCAGTTTAATTATTTTAGGTCATAGCGCTTCTGTGCGCCTTCTTCGATTATTTTTCGCCTTCATTTTTTTTTCTCCGCCCTCATTTTTTTTTGTTCCCCCCCCATTTTTTGTACTGATTCGAGGCTCCCCTCGGGAATTGTTGCTGGCTTTATGCTCCTTCACGCATCCCCCGTGCTACAAAAACAGAAAGCCCACAGCATTTAATCATCGCGGTTGTGCTCACGATTGTCTCACACTGTCCTCGTGCTGAGCCTGGCTTGGTTTTAATTTTAGTCCTTCATGATCAACTTAACTGAACTCATTGAGCGTCTAAATGTATAAAAATGGCTCGTGAGATTGAAGTGTATCATGTTTCCTCACGATTTTATGCTTCCCTGCATCTGTCTTCCCAAAGATCACGTTTTATCTTTCTCGGTTTTATGGCTTTCAAAATACCCTGTTTATGCCGTATTCTGTTCTGAGGAAACGCCGGCAGGTCACATGCAGTCTGAGGCATCACCAAGCTAAATTTCATACTTGCGCTAAATTTCAAATACCATTAGGTCTTTAGACATCACTGGACTCATAACATCTTATGATTGCTTAAAACAAACGTGAAAGGATCTGTAACTCTAATGCAGAAAACACAGTTGGATAGACACAGTTAAGTCACCATCTATAGAGTTGCTTTTGTGATAATGATAAATTAGCACATGATAAATTAGCCTGTGTGTGAACCAGGCCATTAGGAATATTGGAAAGGAGCACCTAAGGCAAGAGAACAATCCTGTTACTGTTGACAAATAATATAAAAATGTCAAGTGGGTGCCATCATAAAACTGTATCAGACCTCTACTCTTCCAAGCTCTTCTCCATCAAATTACTCAGTCAGACCTTCCCTTCTGAGGTCTCCACTCTAAAAACTCACAGAGGAGAAACCATAGCATATTAAAAGGAATGTAACTAACTGAATTTTTACTATTCTGAATAATAAGGTCCCAAAGGTCCGACTATGGCTGGGTTCTGCAGACTTGTATTCCACTAAGATTGTGATCTAGTACCCAGTAGTGTCTTTGCATTGATTTAACTAGTCATAAGTCAGATCATGGACGTTGTTCTTTCCTTAGTAAAAGTATTTTAATTATTAATTGTAGTAACAATATATTGATATCCTTTATTTATATTATAATTAATAATTATTATTTAACCATTTCATGGCACACAATATAAAGAACAGTAGATTTGTTGAGCTCACATTCAAAATTCTTTCCTACTGCTTAGATTAGCAAAAGATTTTGCATTACTTTTGAGAGGAGGATCAAACTCTAAAGCACAATGTATGAAAGTATCCAAAGACACATTTTAGGGGGACTGATATTTGTCATCCTGACTAAAATGTTGGGGTGCAAATTATATTAGATAGTACTTCACTCATTTAAGTATTGGCTTTACATAGTCTCTTTAACCAGCTGTACTAATTTGGCACATTCTCAAACACCATGTGAACAGATATAATAAATGTTCCATTTTTTAGTGTATTTACTGAAACTCAAGAGAGTCACCTTTAAATCGTGGAGCTGTGTTTGTTGCATGCTGCTATAAATGGTAACTCCTGTCTGGTTAGTAAACGTTCTAATTTGATTACTTAAATTAACTGGCACAGAAAGGTGGTATAAGTAGCTGGTATCGGTTAGCTAGTTCTTCTTGTCACCACTTAGAAGGCCTAATGAGAAAGCTTTCAAATATCTACACTCACTTGTTGGTCAAGTTTATGTTATAAACTATTCACCATCTTTATAGCTACCTGTAAACTCAAGAAAAGATAGACCCATAGTTCTCCACCATTAGTATTATTAAAAAGATAATCAGAAGAGAGTAGGACCACAGTGGCTCACTGTTAGAATTATCAGGGAGAAGATAGAAAAATGTTTAATTGAGATAAGGTGTGAGTGAAAATGATCAGCTAATAAGGAAGAGACACACGTGCACACACATACATACACCTGTGAGAGAGTGAAATGTCCTATGGCTGTCTCAAAGCTTCCTTGTGTCTGTGCAAACCTCCAAGAGAAGCTGCTCTGGCCTGTGAACTGGTCTGGGGGATGCTGCCCAGAGAAGCGGGAGTGTATTGAAGGATGCTTCCCCCCCACTTCTTGGCGGTTGCATTGTCCAGACTCTTTACATAAGCCTCAAAGGGGCAGACGTGGACTGAGCTGGCCCCATCCTGGAGCCGTTTGTGGTCTATGGCGTAGGCCAGACCCCACGCATGCGTTGCGCATGAACTGGTAAGAGGCAAACACTCCTGCCCTTGAAGCCGGATGCAACAAAACCTGTTGGACCAGAGAAAAAAACCTGAAGGTGAGCAGCTATGCTGATCAGCTGGTACGATGAACTTAAAAAGGCAGCAGAAAATCTTGCTCTTGTGCATCCACCATCGAAGCCAGATCCATGAGCATTCACCACTGAAGACTGAGGACCAACGGGACGCCGCTGGATCCATGGTGGTGACTGTTCTTGCAGCCCTGTTCTGCATCCTTGCTTTATTTCTGCCTTTTCCTTCTATTCTGTCCTATCGCTACCCCTCTTCACTTTTTTAATAATAAAAACCTATTTTGGGTGTACAGCATTTGACCTCGTTTGTGTCTTAATCTCACTCTTGGGATCATATCGAAACCTCCCCCAACACTGGATCGGGACAACACCCTCCATCCCCGACCCCTGCCTGCCTTTAAATTGCATTCAGGAGCTTAACTAAATGGGGAATAGCTCAGGATATTATGCTTTTATGAGTTTGCTGTGCTGAATTTATGATGCCTATTTGCTTAGAAGTCTTAAATCTATAGCTCTGAAAAACAGGTAATTTTTATTCTATCCTCTTAGGGTAAGCCTAACTTCATGGAATCAAAATAGAATGCACTTATTCTACAAAAAATAACTGAAAAAGGGGAAAGCATGTTTGAAAACTGGTAGCCTTTCAAATGGCAGTTACTTTACCATTGGCTGATATTTAAAAATAAGGTAACAAAGCAAACTCTGGGGAACAAGGTTGCTAGAGTATTGCAGATTGTCGATCTCAGTCTTTGTTTTACCAGTTCAAAACTCTCATTGAGACCTCTAAGGTTGATTTTGTTCATATAACTTAAAGGCCTGGTTTTCCAATTTTTTGCATCTGTATTCTTTGCTGTATTTCCTTAACTGTCTTTCATGTATTTAGGCAAAATCTAAATTTTGTTTGTTTTCTTTATTACTGACTTTTAAGTTGGTTTGTTCCCAATAGCATGGTTAGTCTTAAGATTAATAGCTTGTGCTCTGGGACAAAATTTTGAGTCTATACAGAGCTTATCTGAAAATTCATGTATAAGTTATCTTATGTCTTGTACTGACTTTAAATGTGGCCTCTAATCTATTTTTTCAGTCTAACTTTTGATTTGCTAACTTTGGTAAGAAAATCTGCAAACACCAGAAGGTCTTAAGTTTCATTTACACTTTCAGCCAGCACTGCTGTTAAAGGGAGCAGTTTTCTTCTAGCCGCTTCTATCAGTGTAGGTGTTTGCGTGGCTGTATATCAGAACAGATTGGAGAATTGATGTGGGTTAAAACCAACTGTGGTTTGGTTGTTTTGTGTGGTGTGTTTTTTATTTTTTTCTTTTTAACCAGTCTAGCTTTAAGCGGGTCACCAATGTGCTTTACCACACATGTTTGTGCTGGTACAAGCAAGAGAGATGACAATATTTCATCTTCTGTTGACAGTGCTGGTTCAAAAGATACAAGTACTTGGGTTTTTTATAAAATTTATCACAAAAAATCTTGGCTGTGGTTGATACTGTGCAGTAAAGTTGTGTAAGG